ATTAGTTAATTAATTGGAAAGGATGATAGAAGGAGCTACACCCAGTCTGACTGGAGCCTTAATCTTTCATGTTTAGCCCTTCATACAGCTTGTTATACAAGTCAAGGAAGGGAAGTTGATCAAGACCAGGCAGGGCCGTCTGGAATTTCACAGGAAGCAGGCTGAGGGGGCAGGGGTGGGAGTGGGAGGCAGGCAGATGGCAGGGGCCCAGCCAGAGGGCGCTCTGGGCACTTTACCCCTAAGGCCACATGGGCCGGCTCTTCTCCCAGGAAGCCCAGTGGTAAATTGAACCCCCAACCTCTGGCTCTAAAGCCTGAGACCTAAACAACTGAGCTAGCCAGCCAGCTCCTTGGTTTGTAGAATGCTGCAAAACCAGAAAGGGGCTGTAAAAGGTCTCAGCCCATTCTGTGAGCTTTCAGACAAAGGGAGGCATCGCACCTCTTCAACAGGGCAACATCTCCTCTCCCAGGGGCTCAGCCTTGTACTGGCCTAAGGGCTTCTCCTGATTTTGCATGGCTCCTGGTCACCTCACATCTCCTCCATCCAGAAGCATCCCTGGCTATGATTCCCCTTACAATCCACTGGGTGGCACTGGAAGGGAGGGAGGGAGAGAGGGAGGGAGGGCTGTTGGTCATCTTAGTGCCTCATTGGAGCAATTTAGTAACTTTATCTTGCAAACAAGAATCAGATCTAAAAGATAGCCATTTTACAACATTGCCACTGAGAGAATAATAAATGACATCCTTTGGGAAAGAAAAGGGAAGTGACATGCAAAAACAGCTGAGACAAAAATTATCCCAACAGATCTGCTTTCTTTTGGTTTTGCCATTGTAGATTTTTAAAAATTGGTGACAGCAAATGTAATCTATGCTAACAAGTGAACAGAAGTTCCCACACTGGTTTTTGGCAATCCGTGACATATTCTGGTGAAGGGTCAGCTGCCCCCATTGGGGGGAGGGAGACACTGGAAAACTCGGGGAGGTGATGGCATTCCAGTTGAACTATTTAAAATCTTAAAAGATGACACTGTTAAGGTGCTACACTCAATGTGCCAGCAAGTGTGAAAAACTCAGCAGTGGCCAGAGGATTGGAAAAGATTAATCTACATCCCAATCCCAAAGAAGGGCAGCGCCAAAGAATGTTCCAGCTACCGTACAATTGCTCAAAATCCTCCAAGGTAGGCTTCAGCAGTATGTGGACCTAGAACTCCCAGAAGCATGAGCTGGATTTCGAAGGGGCAGAGGAACTAGAGACCAAATTGCTAACATGCGCTGGATTACGGAGAAAGCCAGAGAGTTCCAGAAAAACATCTAATTCTGCTTCATTGACTATGCAAAAGCCTTTAACTGTGTGGACTGCAGCAAACTATGGCAAGTTCTTAAATAAATGGGAGTGCCTGACCACCTGATCTATCTACTGAGAAATCTATATGTGGGACACAAAGCAACAGTTAGAACTGGATATGGAATAACTCATTGGTTCAAAATTGGGAAAGGAGTACAAGGCTGGATATTGTCTCCCTGCTTATCTAACTTAT